ATGCATTTACTGAGGATTTAATAACAAATCCTGCCATGCATCTATCTATCTAGCGATCTATCATAGCAAATTAACATTTACAGTTAGGGCTGAATTAAGTTAAGACACATCAAGGTTGAACTTCTTTCAGCAGCCACAGGTGGCGCTCTTCTCCTCTCTCCTCAGTGTTAGTACGGGACTCTGAAGCATCATAAAGTGAGTGAAATGTAATTAAATTGCTACAGCACAGACCTCAGAGCAGCTTAACACACATTAGCATGGCGTATCAACACAGAACAGCATCACGCGTGTCTAAAGATGAACCAGTGTAATATTTTCTCATATGTCAGCATTAGTAATGATATCTATTGTTTCTCCAAGGCATGTTAGTAGAGCTAAAATTGGAGCACTAATGCAATCTAGAGCACATTAGCACTGCTATCATGTAAAACCCAGCACACAGAGTATAAGTACAGCACACTAAAGCGGGTGGATCAGCACAGACCTGCAGTGATTTTCAATGTGGTTCTGATAGTGACCAGACATCCACAAACACAATGAGGTTTTTCTCAAAGTGTTACTGGGTGGCTAATTTCTGGTTCATAATTGGATGGTGTCACAAAAAAGTAACATATGACTGGTTGTCATCTTGATTGACACTCAATAAATATTAACAGATCAAAACATGTGAAGGTAAGGACAACTTTTCCTTTTTTATGTCAAAACAAAATAGCGGGAAAAAACATCTACTGGTTATCTTTGTAAAAACCATTATAAAACAATTAGAATGAACCACATATAATAAATTAATCATATATATATATATATATATATATATATACAGTATCTCACAGAAGTGAGTACACCCCTCACATTTTTGTAAATATTTTATAATATATTTTCATGTGACAACACTGAAGAAGTGACACTTTGCTACAATGTAAAGTAGTGAGTGTACAGCTTGTATAACAGTGTAAATTTGCTGTCCCCTCAAAATAACTCACAGAACAGGCCTTGCCATGGTCGGCCAAAGAAGTTGTGTGCACGTGCTCGGCGTCATAACCAGAGGTTGTGTTTGGGAAATAGACGTATGAGTGCTGCCAGCATTGCTGCAGAGGTTGAAGGGGTGGGGGGGGGGAGCTACAGTTCATTGAGGGAACCATGAATGCCAACATGTACTGTGACATACTGAAGCAGAGCACGATCCCCTCCCTTCGGAGACTGGGCCGCAGGGCAGTATTCCAACATGATAATGACCCCAAACACAACTCCAAGACGACCACTTTCTTGCTAAAGAAGCTGAGGGTAAAGGTGATGGATTGGCCAAGCATGGGCACCCTCAAACGGAAGGTGGAGGAGCGCAAGGTCTCTAACATCCACCAGCTCCGTGATATCGTGGAAGAGGACTCCAGTGGCAACCTGTGACGCTCTGGTGAACTCCATGCCCAAGAGGGTTAAGGCAGTGCTGGAAAATAATGGTGGGTGCACAAAATATTGACACTTTGGGTCCAATTTGGACATTTTCACTTAGGGGTGTACTACTTTTGTGGCCAGCGGTTTAGACATTAATGGCTGTGTGTTGAGTTATTTTGAGGGGACAGCAAATTTACACTGAAGAAATGACACTTTGCTACAATGTAAAGTAGTGAGTGTACAGCTTGCATAACAGTGTTGTCGCATGAAAAGATATAATAAAATATTTACAAAAATGTGAGGGGTGTACTCACTTCTGTGAGATATTGTATATATATATATATATATCCTTGTGAGGCCAGTGTTTCCACAAATCAGTCTGACCGGGATTTATTAATTGCAAGAGACAATAAATGAAAATGAGGAGAAATTCATTCCATTCCAAACAGGAATGGCATGGGCTGTGCAGAGAGCAGGTTACAGAAAACAGCTTCAGTTCACATTTCCACAAGTTTCAACAGCTTCTAAAAATAAAGACAAAGGGAAGAGGCCTAGACCCTGGAGACCAAACCCTCCCTCTTTCTCTCTCTCTCTCTTTGTTGTGAAAACTGAACTGCAGGATATTTTCTAAGAGCAGCTTCACTATATGCAGGTTAAATACACATATTATTTTCTTATTAAAGTGCCTAATCTAATCATGTGCAATTTCTCACATCAAGATAGTAATTTACAATCACTGTCTCCCTCAATGTGGACAAACAGATATTTCTGAGATTTTAGGTTGGAATCAAATTTATACTGCAATAATGTGATAATGCCTCACACAATCCAAGGGCTGATACCAGAAGAGGAACCACCTCAGATCTGAAATCAGATCACAGCAGAGCCATCTAATTCCTGTATCTCAAACTGTAGAAAATAGTGCTAGCTAAACCAACATTGAGGATTCAATTCCCAGAGCATGCAGGAACTGATAAAATATATGTAATCACTGCCTTATCTATAACATAATCACCTCAGGTCTGATCTCAGAACAGAATCAGCTCAGGTCTGATCTCAGGACATAATCAGCTCAGGTCTGATCTCAGGACAGAATCAGCTCAGGTCTGATCTCAGGACAGAACCAGCTCAGGTCTGGTCTCAGGACATAATCAGCTCAGGTCTGATCTCAGAACAGAATCAGCTCCGGTCTGATCTCAGGACAGAATAAGGTCTGACCTGAGGACAGAATAAGGTCTGGTCTCAGGACAGAATCAGCTCAGGTCTGATCTCAGAAGAGAATCAGCTTAGGTCTGATATCAGACAAGAATCAGCTCAGGTCTGATCTCAGGATAGAATCAGCTCAGGTCTGGTCTCAGGGCAGAATCAGCTCAGGTCTGATCTCAGGACAGAACCAGCTCAGGTTTGGTCTCAGGAGAGAATCAGCTCAGGCCTGATCTCAGAACAGAATCAGCTCAGGTCTGATCTCAGGACAGAATAAGGTCTGACCTGAGGACAGAATCAGCTCAGGTCTGATCTCAAAACAGAATCAGCTCAGGTCTGGTCTCAGGACAGAATCAGCTCAGGTCTGATCTCAGGACAGAATCAGCTCAGGTCTGATCTCAGGACAGAACCAGCTCAGGTTTGGTCTCAGGAGAGAATCAGCTCAGGCCTGATCTCAGAACAGAATCAGCTCAGGTCTGATCTCAGGACAGAATGAGGTCTGACCTGAGGACAGAATCAGCTCAGGTCTGATCTCAAAACAGAATCAGCTCAGGTCTGATCTCAGGACAGAATCAGCTCAGGTCTGATCTCAGGACAGAATAAGCTCAAGTCTGATCTTAGGACAGATTCAGCTCAGGTCTGATCTCAGGACAGAATCAGCTCAGGTCTGATCTCAAAACATAATCAGCTCAGGTCTGGTCTCAGGACAGAATCAGCTCAGGTCTGATCTCAGAACAGAATTACCTGTGCTGATGGAATATTACCCACCTCCACAGCTGCCAAATACAGTAATTTCCCAATACTTTTGTCTTTATGTGTTCATCTAGCTCATCTAGTATATTAGTGACCGAGTATTTTAAAATTCTGATGAAAACAGTAAATAATATGATATCATTTTAACCTTCTGAAATCATTCGGTTTTAATGAGCACTGAATATGTGTGTCTCCCCTACAGAGTCTTGGCATCATGTCTGACAATCTTCCCTCTCGTTCTTTCTCTTCTCTCTCCCTTTCTCTAAACGTCCATCTGTTCTTCTCCCCTGGGCCTTTATTATTCACTTCATCCAGGGGTTTCACTCTCCTCTCCTCTCCTCTCCTCCCCCCCCTCCCCTCTCCTCTCCTCCCCTCCCCTCGCAGAAGTGCTTTTGTTTGTAATGTGAGACGCTGCATCCATCTCTGACGCATCAAATATTATTTATTTGACGTGTACAAATATCCACATACTCCCATGAGAAATTATTTTTTTGATTATTAACCTGTATTTTTTCCCAGCTCAAATTTTATTGGGAAAAAGTTACTTACAATGTATTATTTATAATAAGTATTCCGTACATGTTTATGTCTCTGTTGGCAAGCTAAATTTACATTTAAATACAATTCACATTTACAGTACAGCAGCAGAACAGCAGCAGGGAAAGAAAAGAGTCTGTGTTTGTCCCACATGGGATCAACACACAGACACACACTCACACACACACACACACAGTTTACAAGATTGTTTGGCTATCTTAGTGAGCTCATTGCAGACTTCCATTGATATATTATCAGTTTAATGATATTTTCCATCATCTAACCCAAGCACTAACCCCTAAACTTACCCATCAGAGAAACATGTGCAGAACACTAGATTTACATCAACAACATCTTCTGGCTAATTTATAAGCATTTTTAACTAGTGACGACCAGTCAAATGTCTCAACAGTGGGTTGTCAAAGTATTTCACACTTACACAAGTACACACACCACACACAAACACACACACTCGTTTTTCAGTCATGGTGGGGAGTTTTCAGGGATTACTAAACCCTTCCAGAATGTTTTTTTTTCGTCAAAATATTATTATATTATATTATATTACAGGATATTATATGATATTATATTATATTATACAATTAGATATTTGAGACATTTGTTTGGTTGATAGTAAATTATTTTAAAAAATGTTTTAGAATATAAAAATAGTCAGTTCAAATGTCTAAAGCGTGCAAGTATTCTCAGTTTCAGTTTTCTATCTGTTGTAACATTATACTTTTCTATTGATAAAACCCACTGACATACAGGTGGTAAAATGTTTCCATTGTGAAAATATCTAGATAAGCATATACAAATGTTCATGCACAAAATCAATAGGAAAATTATGACAATTTTCTGAAGTTACAATAAAGTCTATTCAGGTAATTTTTGACCTGAATATAACATGTTTTATTTATTTATTTAATTTTATTTTTAGATTTTAAAAAGTATAGTCACTGTTCAGTAGCAGCTTTGAGGGGCAATACTTGGAAATAAAATAAAAAAATATCATATTTCCCCATTGATTCTGTGCAGAACTCAACTGCATATAGTCTTTAACACTGATGTCATTCATGCATCCGAATAAATGTAACAGAAAGCGCATGTCTTAC